CCGGAGATGCTGCTCATGCTGCATGGACGGGGTAACCACATGGATGGGTTACCTCATGTACAACGTCAACGTAAGTTATTGATTTTCTGTTTTGTATATACCGCGTGCATTTTGATAGTTTGGTTCTGTTTGCTTGATGCAAAATTACATTGTTACTGTTTTAATCGGTTATTTCTGTACAGTAAGGTTTAATTTTTAGAGAGAGAGGGAGAGATGAAAACCTTAAGTAAAAGTATGTAAGATTAGCAAAATGTATTTTGAGTAAGTATGTTTTTGGATTAATGTTGCATTTTACTTCTCCCTCTCACGGCAGTGCAACATGGTGGGCTCTGTAGATATGAAGGCCTCATTCTCAGCTAATGAAGACACAATTATTCTTAGTTTTAGGTGATTATACACTAATGAAAACATAGTTATGAATGTTATTTTCCATTTCTGTCAGTAGTTCCTCCTAAACCCTCGGTATATTTAACTTGATTGAATATTGAACAGAAAGCCTCTCATGCAAGTCCAGTCTTGTCCGTTAAGTTATTTCTGCTCATACACATAAGTTCATCTGTATTATGGGGGGGGGGAGTAGGGATACGGCTCAACTTACCCCGCTCCTATGCTCAACTTACCCCGTGTAGGGGGGAAGTTGAGCCACAAGACCACTTTTTTCAGACATGCTATATTATTGAAACAGTTATGTTAACACTCATTCTGTTTGTTTGAAGGGATGCACAACATCCTGAAATATATGCAGATACATTAGTTAGCGACAAAACTATGATTGCCTTGATGTAGTGATCCTAAATATGAAAAATGGCTCATCTTACCCCACTCTCCCCTATATAAGATTTACTTAATATTTTGATGATAGCAATGTCTTGTATATGAAAATATTTAATTGATTTTACTCAGTTGAAATAAATATAACTTGTAATGTAGATATAATTAAATAACATTTACTTAATATTTTTACAAAAGTTTAGTTCAGTGGTAAGTAAATTTTACATGATACTGGCAAGTGAGTTGTACTTCATATTTCAGCAGTAATATTTACTTAGAAAATGTTTGTGCAAATTGTTACGAGATTATATTAAGTAAATCTTACGAGTTGTGTTTTTCAGTGAATGTGACTCACCTGCTGCTACCTGTTTCCTCCACCTGGCACACAATTGGAGGGTCCGCTCCTCGCCCTCGGACTGACACCCACCCTCTGTAACTGGGTGCTGAACTTCCTCATAGACAGACCCCAGTCAGTCAGTTGGAGACCAGGGATCAGGCATCATAACTGTGAGCACAGGGACCCCCCAGGGCTGCGTGCTAGGTCCGTTGCTCTACACCCTCTTTACCTACGACTGTGTGTCCTCCCCGACCAACACCTGCAATATAAAGTTTGCAGACAACACCACGGCCATTGGACTGATCAGTGGTGGGGAGGAGACGGCATACAGAAGACAGGTGACAGGACTGGTGGCCTGCTGTTAGGAAAATAATCTCTCCTTGAACACAAACGAGACAAAGGAGATGATTATTGATCCTAGGAGGGGGAGGAGGGAACAGCACACCCCACTGTACATCGGTGAGACAGAGGTAGGCAGGGTGAAAAACTTCAAATTCTTTGGAACCCACATCAGCGAGGACCTCACCTGCTCTCACCACGTACGTATAAACCACTATATTTTTTTACTGTACATATGACAATAAACCTCTTGAGTGTTGAATCTTGAATCTCTCTACGGGCCCTGCTGTAACTGCACTGTCAGTAATAATTCTCTCTTTGTTTCAACATCTACAGTTCAAGTGGACCTCGAGATGAGATTGCTTTGTCAACCATCAAATGAATATAATGTTTTGAAGTGAAATGTTGCTTTTTTTACAATGGAACACAAACACAGTCAAAACAACCATCAATAAAATCCTTTCTACTGTCTGAGTCACAATGACCACAGTAGTTTTTAAGACCTTAATTGACATAAAGAAAAATAAATATATTAGCCTTATTTGTAGTTGGAGGAGGGGAGAGAGAGAGAACTGTTGGAGTGCTATGGAACAGAGGAATAAGCCATGTCACCAGCAGGCCTGGAGCTACCACTGAAGACACAGAGGTCATATCCTTTCTATTTTCAATTTCTAACATATATATTTCTTAAAATGTTAAATCAAAGGTTCGAATTACTAAAACTACTTAGTTGTTGGTGTGTTGGGAGCAAACTGGCATAATCTTGGCTGCAGAGTTGAATACTTTAAAAGCAAACATCACTGGCCTTACCAATATGGTAACATGGATGATACAATCCTCTTAGGTCTGTGTCTCTTTTACATTTTTGTTATACAACTTTCTTCAATCTGTGGAACATGTTAGTAATTTCTTTTAATCAAATTATCTTTCCCAGTCCAAATTTTCCCAGCACCTCTTTCTGCCTGTGTGTTAACGTGCCATTTTAAGTGGATATAGCAACAATAAGAAACTAAACTGTCAGAGTCCTGAAGAAGAGTCCTTTTCAGAATTGGACATATACATGTATATATATATACATGTATATGGTGTAGTGGTAGGAAATATATATACATATGGTGTAGTGGTTGATAGTTCACTTGAATTCCACACCCATATTTCAGAAAAACTAAAAGATGCTGACTGTATGCTGGCTGTAATTAGAAGAGGTTTCCATAATTTATCAAAGGAAATAGTTTTACCACTGTATACATTTTTGCAAGTTCAGTCTGATCTCCTTACAAATTAAAATATATAGAAACAATTGTTGAGAGAAGAGCCACTAAACTAATTTCAGGTCTGAAAGAGATGTCTTATGAAGAGAGGTTAGAAAAGTTACAATTACAATGTCCTTGTGATTAGTATGTCGGAGACACAGAGGAGAACTGACTATTCCCACAAAGGAGGAAAAAAGTCTGCATACTGTGTGTTAGTGGTGAAAATTCTGATTCTTTTTATCCAGATCATTTAGCTACGCTCGGCGAAAGCAGTTGGCTCTTTCGGCTCCAAATTGAGTCTTCATTTAGTACCACTTCTGGCTTTTATGATTAAGCCAAATTTAGCAATATTCTGACCTATGATTGGTATGTGTGCACATATATCACTTCATATCATATCCCATCATCTTTTATTCAATTTAATCATACTTAATCTTGTAATTTCCAGAATACCATCTTTTATTTGGTATTAAACCTTAAATACTGTAAAAACATCCAACACTATTATACACTTGTAGTGAACGTTTTATTTATATTGAACTATGTTCATATGTCAGCAACCAGCACAACATACTAAAGTCTCACCATGCTTGCTTAATGTTAGGAAAGTGAAATATTTCTGCATCATATTTAACAAATGCATTACGGGATCATCATATTATTTGGTCTTGTATTCATTAATAGAAAAAAAGAAAGGAAATCAGGTCTGAGAGAGGAGCCGGCTCCCATTGTTCCTTTAAAGGAGCTGACTGATTCACAAACTACACATCATGACTGTGCTGTAAAAGCATGGACTTAACATTCAGTTAACTCTTATAAAAAAAGATTGGATCAGTTCTGGTCAACAAAAAATGTTGTGTGTAACTTTAAAGCTCATTTGTGATTGTTTGTGAAATTATGTTGTTGTTTTGTTGTTGTTTGAGGTGTAGTCTGGTGTGGAGCATTTACATCCTGTCCCAGAAACCTTTAAACAAATTTCAAAAGATCTTGTGTTTTATTCTAGTCTACTATTGATGTGTTGGCACCAACATTATTTAAGTGTTTATTGTTGCTCTCAACCAAAAATAATTTTCCAGACCATACATGAACTAGTCTCTGGTTTGCATTTATGCCGCTAGGGGTCGTATGAGGTCCGCAGATCCGCCGCTCTGCCTGCCTCTGCGTCCTGCTGCTGTGTGGCTGGAGGAGAGTTAATAACGTTACTACTACTGGGTGTAATTATAGCACACAGCCTTAAGAGTAGCACATGAATGGCGAATGATTCCCTGCATACATATCACAACATTTGCATGCATTAACCCGGTTCGCCCGGGCCCGTCCTTAGGCTCACACGGCCCGTCAGCGAGTCAACAAGTCCCCCCACTCTCAGTGCAAGCACACACTGGTTCATGGGAGGATGCGCTTGTCACATCGTGGGCAGGTGATGGAGTGTGATCACAGTTTGGCAGCTGAGGGGTTAAAGTCATATAGGTCCAGTTTTGTCAGTTCTGTCTGTGCCTCTCTCTCTCTCTCTCTATCTCTCTCTCTCTCTCTTTTTGCGTCAGGTATTCTAAAGAGGAGCCAGAGTTTAGATGGAGGTGGAGAGAGAGAAAGAGAGAGAGAGAGAGAGAGAGAGAGAGAGAGAGAGAGGGGGGGGACAGTGAGGGAGAGTTGATAGGCAAGCCCGCCGTCCAATCAGGAGAGAGCTCTCAGCATGATTTAGAGCCGCGGGGCTGCGAGGGGGAGGCGCGATGCGGGAAAAAGGCAAATAGCTGAGTGAACAGCGTCAGTAGAGAGTGGAGTGGAGGTGACCGCAGTGAGGGAGCAGGGTGCCAACAGGAGCCACAGAGGCGCAAAACGCAAACAGGAAAAAGTCTGACATTTGCGCTGCGATCAGGGGCCACCGCAGAGGACAGAATGCGCCTTTTCTTTTTTCTTGTGTGGATTACGATTTCTTTTCGTCCAACTCCTCTCCAGACTGGTTCCATCACTCCGTCAGAACTGCGCTTCCCTGGAATGTGCGCCGCAGCCTCTCCGTGACGCGTCTGAAGAGCAAGACAGCGGAGCCAGAACAGAGGGGGAAAATAGTGTGCAGTCATTAAAACTGCTTTTAAACCTCCAAAAATGCCTCTTTGTTGATGGGACACATTCCTTCGCACGCCTCGCTCATTTCCGGAGACTTTTACGCATTTTGGAGACTTTTTTTCTCCCGACTGAAATGGCTGATGAAAATTGACATTTCATCCGTTCACAGAGGATAATACGCTTTATAATCTTTTTTTTTTTTTTTTTTTTTACCTAAGTGCACTTTTTTCCCGGCGATGATTGTGCTTTTGATTGTCCTGTGCATCACGGATGGAGTGCTCTCTCAGATTCGCTACTCTGTGCCGGAGGAGGCGGACCATGGCACCTTGGTGGGGAATATCGCCGAGGACCTGGGACTGGACCTTACCAAACTGGCCTCCCGCCGCTTCCAGGTGGTGCCCAGCTCTCGGACACCGTACCTGGAGGTGAACCTGGAGAACGGCGTCCTGTTCGTTAACGAGAAGATCGACCGGGAGCAGATCTGCAAGCAGAGCCCCAGCTGCCAGCTCAACATGGAAGTGTTCTTGGAGAACCCGCTGGAGCTGTTTCGGGTCGAGATCGAGGTGGTGGACATTAACGACAACCCGCCCAGCTTCCCGGAGACAGACATCACGGTGGAGATCTCGGAGAGCGCCACTCCGGGCACCCGTTTCCCCCTGGAGAGCGCGTTCGACCCGGACGTTGGCTCTAACGCTTTACGCACGTATGATATCACCACAAATAACTACTTTTATCTGGACGTGCAGACCCAGACGGACGGGAACAAGTTCGCGGAGCTGGTCCTGGAGAAACCGCTGGATAGGGAGCAGCAGGCGGCGCACAGGTATGTGCTGACCGCGGTGGACGGCGGTCAGCCTCCCCGGACTGGCACCGCGTTGCTGGTGGTCAAAGTGCTGGACTCTAATGATAATGTGCCGGTGTTTGACCAGCCCGTTTACACGGTGAGCCTCTCGGAGAACGCGCCGGTGGGCAAGCTGGTCATACAGCTGAACGCCACCGACCTGGACGAGGGATTAAACGGGGAGATAGTTTACTCCTTCAGCAACCACATCTCCAACCGCGTTAAGGACCTGTTCAGCATAGACCCGCGCACCGGGCGCATCGAGGTGCGCGGAGAGGTGGATTTCGAGGAGAGCAGCCTGTATCAGATCTTCGTGCAGGCCAAGGATATGGGACCAAACGCGGTGCCAGCGCACTGCAAAGTGCTGGTCAAAGTCAACGACGTGAACGACAACGCGCCCGAGATCACCTTCAGCACCGTCACCGAGTCAGTGAGCGAAAAGGCGGCTCCCGGCACCGTCATCGCGCTGCTGAGTGTGACGGATAAGGACGCAGAGGAGAACGGACAGATCCACGTGGAAATCCTCGGTGAAGTCCCGTTCAAATTAAAATCTTCCTTCAGGAATTATTTCACCATAGTGACCGACGGCCCGCTGAACCGGGAGCTGGCGGACCACTACTCCGTGACTGTGGTGGCGCGGGATAAAGGGACGCCGTCACTGGCCACTAGTAAGTCCATCCGAGTGCAGGTGTCAGACGAGAACGACAACGCGCCCACTTTTACGCAGCCCATATATGATGTGTATGTGACAGAGAACAACGTGCCAGGGGCGTACATACACGCTGTAACGGCTCAGGACCCGGACATCGGCCAGAACTCGCTCATCAGTTACTCCATATTAGAGTGTGACATCCAGGGCATGTCTGTCAAAACCTATGTGTCCATCAACGAGGAGACCGGCTATCTGTATGCACTCAGGTCCTTTGATTATGAGCAGCTGAAGGATTTCACATTCATGGTTCAGGCCAGAGACGCGGGCACCCCAGAGCTCTCCTCCAACGCCACAGTCAAAGTCATCATTGTGGACCAGAATGACAATCCCCCGCTAGTGCTGGCCCCCCTGGGGAAGAATGGCACAGCCAAGGAGCCCCTGCCCCGCTCAGCTGAGCCGGGCTATCTGGTAACCCGCATTGTTGCTATGGACGCGGATGATGGTGAGAATGCCCGGCTGTCCTACAGCATCCAGAGGGGGAACGAGAACGGCATGTTCAGGATGGACTGGAGGACAGGTGAGCTCCGGACAGCAAGGCGAGTGTCGCCCAAGAGAGACCCCCACCAGCTGTACGACCTGCTGATTGAGGTGAGAGACCACGGCCAGCCGCCGCTGTCCTCCAGTGCCAGCATTCTGGTGATGCTGGTAGACAGTGTGGCTGAAGGCCGTGGCGGTGGGGACCGGGGAGGCACTGCCAAGGCCAAAGATGGCACCCTGGACCTCACCCTCATCCTCATAATTGCCCTGGGCTCCGTCTCCTTCATCTTCCTCCTGGTTATGATCGTGCTGGCTGTGCGTTGCCAGAAGGACAAAAAGCTCAATATTTACACCTGCCTGACCAGCGAGTGCTGCCTGGGCTGCAGCTCCTGCTGCTCACGGCAGGGAAGGGCCCGCAAGAAAAAGCTCAGCAAGTCGGATATCATGCTGGTGCAAAGCGCCGGCAACGTCAGTGGAGCTGGTACGGCTCAAGTCCCCGTGGAGGAGTCAGGGAGCTTCGGCTCCCACCACCAAAACCAGAACTATTGCTACCAGGTATGTCTGACTCCAGAGTCTGCCAAAACCGACCTCATGTTCCTAAAGCCGTGTAGTCCATCTAGGAGCACAGACACCGATCACAACCCGTGCGGGGCCATAGTGACAGGGTACACAGACCAGCAGCCTGACATCATATCAAACGGCAGCATTTTATCAAACGAGGTAAGAGTCCCTCTCATACCTACAGTTTAACCCCCCCCCTTCCATTCAGAGACCCTCAGCATGTCTAAAACCTGAGAAGCCTGCCCGTTTGATACAATTTAAACAAACATCCGTACAAGCTAGATACAAAAGCTGCTTTATACAGGGGCCATTTTCCATTTCCAAAATGTTGTACATCAGTTCAGTAGTATGCCGAGATCGTCTGACTGATTTCACAAGAGGCATTAAAGCAAACACAGTGATTAGACTACCAGTTGCTGACATGTTGCCTTTGGCAGTCCTCAGGAAGCTCGGCCCTGAAACAGCAATGATTGCATGTTTTTGTTGTTCTCCCAAGACTTAAAAGAAATAAAAAGAAAAAAAATCTGAATAAGAGAACGACATAAGAATGGCTGCTGGTTGCTGTGGGTGCATCTATTTGTGTGTGTGTGTGTGTGTGTGTGTGTGTGTGACCCAGTCCCCGGGAGGAGAGGAGCATTCACATTAAGCACACTGGTCACAAAGTTGCTGAGTCGCACTAGAACAAAGATGCGTGTCTTGGCTGTGCCAGCCCTGAATAGGTGCATTACTTCATCTTGTGCCTTGGCAACATATCTGATAAGCCCTCCTCCCCTCCCCTCCCCCCTGTGGGAAAGTAGCACACCTCCTCAAAAACACACGTGTGATACATGTAATGGCTGAACATAGCTAATATCAACTTGGAACTGTGTGGGTTGTGTCATTTCTGATGTCTGTTGTTTTTTTTGGTTTTTTTTATGCTAATCGTGTTACGCAAGGTGCTCGAGCGACAGGCACTGAAAACTGCCCCCCTTCTCTTGCAGACCAAACACCAGCGAGCTGAGCTCAGCTACCTGGTCGACAGGCCAAGACGCGTCAACAGGTAAATATGGAGAAAGGGAGTCACTGCAGCCTAGGGATAGGAATCGAGAATTGTCCGATCCATCGGAGTTGCAAAACAATGACGTCAAACTCGTGCATCCACACTGCCAGAGGAAACGGTCTAAAGCGTGGCCTTATTTCATTAAGACACTCAAACTACTATCAATGTTTTTAGACTGTTCAGACTCAGAGATAATAACACTTGCATTGATACTGAGAACCTGTGCAGACCTACTCTTCCACACAGGAAATTGATCAGGATTTGATAAAGGAATTGACAAAGAATCAGGGTACAAATCATATACTTCATGAAGATTGAATGCACGAATGAATGCAAGATGTATCATAAATTCTTGTTGATCATTTACAAATGATCAAGTCACTGGGACTTTTTGTGGTTCAGTTCAGGAATGTATATTCTTACATTAATCAATGCTATCAAATTAGCAGGATTCCAGTCACTTTAAAGCTTTCTGTAGGATCATGCATTTGCTCAAAACCCAGTGGTATTTTTTGACACATTTACCACATAATGGACAAATTAGAGGAGAGTGATCAGACAGCAAACAAACACAAAAAAATTGAAAATGTGTCAAAGAATACCACTGGGAAATATGAAGCTATTTGTTCGTAATCGGAGAGGCTGAGGAAATGCAAGGTCCTGAAAAAAAGACTTTAAGAGTACTCCATCTAATTGGTTGCATATCAATTAATATATGAATTCATATTCCTTAATTGATGACTTATTATGTGGGAACTAATCACAGAAAGTCATTTGTCAGTGGTGAGCAACAGGAATTCATAATACGTCCTTCATTCATGCATTAAATTATCATGAGTCGTGCATTTAGGTCGTACTTAAGTAATTTAAGTATATGATTTGTACCCTTATTAATCAAGCGTTACCAAATCGATAATGGTTATCAGATCCCATCCCTACTGCAGCCTCTGTGCTGCTGTCACATCCAGCTGTAATAACCCTCTTATCTGTCGCCTGCCTCATTCGCTGATAACTCTCATTAATGTGACGATGCTCTCGATGATAAGATGGCATCAGAGAGATTAGAAATGCACGCCGGAATGATAATAGATGAAAAACATAAAAATAAAAAAATAAAAAATTCTCTTTGGTTTCAGTTCAGCGTTCCAGGAGGCGGACCTGGTCAGCTCCAAAGACAGCGGCCATGGAGACAGTGAGCAGGGGGACAGCGACCACGACGCCACCAACCGAGGCAATTCCTCCGGTAAGAGCTGCCTTTTTTTTCCAGCATTTGATTTGTTAAGCTGCACGTTCAGAGGGCGGATCAATGGCTCTCTTGCTTCTGTAGGACTGGAGTGGGCGTTGCTGATTAGCATGTGGTTACTATGCAGTGTGGGTCCGAGAGCAGGTTGTTGCCCATCCCTGTAGCGCTGAAATGTGGACTCTTCTTTCTCAGTTTGTGAGGAGAATGAAAGCTCATTTTAATAAGGGCCAACATCACACACAAGTGGAGTCAGCATCACCGTTTGAGTGAGTCCGACAGGTCCGATCAGCTTTTATGCTGATGCTGTTGTACTTTGAGACATTCTGATTTCTCTCCAGTGACATGTGGCTTGTGATTTCCTGTCATCCCTTAAAAAAAAAAAAAAAAGAAGATAAAAAGCTTTGGACGGCTGGTAACAGAATCCCCTGACACATGAGGTTTTTCGTGTCGGCGAGCAGAAAGCGACCCCCTCCCGCCGCTGTTTGTAAATATGTGGCGGTGTTAATGAGGAGCCCGCTCCCTGTGAGCTCGGTCACTCGGTGCTGGAGACCACTGCGTGAGACATGACAGGCTTTTTAATGAGGCCGCGCTCGCTCCGGAGAGCTGGGAAGAGGACCAAATAGGTTGCGGCCGTCGCAGACAAAACAGGCGATTCATCCGTTCATTAAATTAATTAATGCATTCATTTATGCAGTTACTCCTTTTCTCCCATCTTCCCTGACCACATTCTTCCACATCCATCCTTTTTTTTAATCTCCCTCTCCTAAAGGAACCCATCTGAGCTCACACAATAGGGCCCCGCTGATTTATGAATGCTGGTTTTATGTCTTCATTCAGTGGCAAGCTTTCTTTGGTGCGGGCCTTCTGTGTACGGAGCCTGTCATCGTGTCTGGTCAGCCGCAGCAGGGGCCCTCGCCGGTGCCAAATGGAGCCACTTTCACTGTCACTCCAGTGGGCCTAGATGGGTTACACAGAGCTCAGTAAACAGAAACACACAGAGCCAGACCCCCTCTCTGCCCCCTGTTTTAGCTCTAATAAGCTGCAGCTTTTTCTCTTTCACCACAGCGGAACATTCTCACTCCTAATCGGACCAAGCCAGCCAGCTGCTTTATGTGGATGGAGTTGTCCTATTTCCAGTGCATTAGCATTTCACGTGAACGCTGCCAGCCAGAGTTCATCTTCTGTTATGAATAGTCTTTCACACAAGTAGGGCTGGATGTGACTTAGAATTTATACTTGAGTTTGGTACATTATTTTTTGATGCCTTACTTTGAGGAATATAAACTCTTTTTTTATCATTTAACAAAATCAGAAGAAGTTGGCGAATGTAAGATGTTGTCTAAAACAGCAGATTTTCAAACCAACAGGGGTCCTTTAGTGGGTTGTAGGAGGTCCCCAGCAAAAGGAGGAATGGAACATTTTAACTTTTAGTACATTTTTAGGATGTTGGAACAAGGATTAATTCCTAGTGAAGTTTTATCAGTGATTGATTGTGAAGACTTTATAAACTTTAAACCTAAAAATAAAAAAAAGGATTCCTGAAGACAAATCCTCTAAAATTGGGTTAGGGTTATGTTAATATTAATATATCAATCCATTAATCAAATTACCACTTTACTAACTGCCACACACTTTGTCCATGTTGATCGGCTGGGAAATAAAGTAAGTAAGTAAGTAAGTAAAGCTTTATTTATATAGCACCTTTATGACCCAGAGATCCAAAGTGCTTTACAAACAAAAAATAAACATAAGGGTATAACCACACAATTTCATTCCAGCTCATAAATTCACTATATCGTCTGCCATATCTGTAACCGCTGATCTTTATCCTCTAAAATCAGTATCAGCCTCAAAAATCCCACATCGGTTGGACTTGAAACCAGATTCTGAATCTGTCCAGACATTTGAGATAACTTCTGTTATGAATTGGCGCTATACAAATAAAAATTGAATTGAATTGAAATGAATTTGTTCTCTCTAGACTTGACGGTTTTTGACATTTGAATCTCATGCATTACCAAAAAACCTTGCAGTTCAATACCCAGCCCTACTCACAACTGCATCTGTTTTTCTTTTGCACCTAATCAGAAATGGGTAGTAAAGTACAAATACTTTGTTACTGTGCTTAAGTAGTTTTGTCAGGTATCTGTACTTTACTTGAGAACATTTTACATTATTGCCCTACATTTTTACATAAATACCTGCACTCTCTACTGCTTACATTTTCAAAACAGGCCTGTTACTTCAATTTTAATGCGTTTGAGGGAAATTATCCATTATGTATATTTGTCTGCATCACACACATCAAGACCGTTGTGCATCACGCACAACAGACCTAAAGTGACAAAAACACCCAAAGCGAGACTTGACCATGTTTGAAGTTTCAGTTAGCTTTGTACAGAAACAGCTGGTAGAGAAACCAAGAGAGTCCTTTATACTTTTATACTTTCAGTACATTTCAAAGCTGGTACTTTTTCATTTTTACTTGAGTAAAGAAGTTGAATCAGTACTTCAGAGCCTGCCAGGTGCTTTATGTCCAATTTTGAATGTATTAGTATCTTATATGAATGCTGCTAGCCCTTGAGTAGCAGTGCCAACTATCCTTTTGTCCAGTATCTTATTCTGAGGAATATAAATCTGCTTTCAACGAGGAAGTATCTGATCACAGAATAAGATGATAAAAGTATGAATCTCCCCACTGTGGAATTTTTTTTTCTGCTTGGGCCTGAGCCAGCCAGCTGCTTTGTGTCCTATTTGGAGTGTGTCGGCAGCCCTGCCTGTTAATACAATCCCACTGTCGCATGTGCCATTTAGTGCGTCCAGTTGTGATGCAACGGCAGCTCCACCACTGACTTTGAGTACCCTTGGTGGTGTCAAATTGGATAGAGTTACTTTGTTGCAGAGTTATCAGCCAGCTTACTGCCTTTAAACAGATTATTTGCCGTGCATTAAGTCGTTGTTTGATTAGGATAATTGATAACATGGCTTAATGTCTCGCAATTCTGCTCCCACAATGCTGCAAAAAGGAAACACAGGCTTTACCCTGCGTGTGCTAATTGAGTTTGTCAGCAGCGAGCGCACTCGAACTGCGTCAGTGTTTAATAAATGCTAATGTTAAATAAACGTGTCCATGTCATCCATCACAATGGTGTGTTAGCCTCTTCTCTCGCCTCTGTCATGAGTACATCAGCGAGAGAGGAGGTATTTCTTTCTTTTTTCTTTTCCATGTGATCAGATTTATAGGAACATATTGGTTTTCATCTCAAGGCTAAATTTGCTGAACTACATATTAAAGCATAACGATTACATATTGGCAGATATACAGTATGCTCCAGTGAGATTAGTTTGAACGCGTGTTGGAAGCAGGTCTCACAGAGGAGGATGGTGCTGTTTACCCTCATTGGCACATAATCTTTCTGCCTCCTTCTTTTTTACTGTAGCAGTGGTTGTATTTCTGACACAGTGATTTGTGTTCTTTTTTTCCCCCGCTGCTGGCTGCGTTGTCGTGCCAACATTTTCTGCTGTTTCAGGCTGGTTGTTCCCTGATCAAACCACTCCATTTTTCCTCATCAAGGACGCACTTAAAGAGTCAAAAACTGGTTCGGAAATCACCTGCAACGGGTGTTTGTAGATAAATTCAGAGTAGGGTTACAGTATAATTATCAATGCAGATAAATTATCGTCCGAAAACGGAAAATGTTTATATTATTATAATCAAATTATAGCCAAAATAGCTCAGAGCTATGGAATATTAAATCATCCATCTTTGCATGATGTGCCATCTTACACCGCAGTGTGCAGATGTGTGTGGACTGGCATGTTTTTTAGTGGGCTGAAAAAGAAGATAAATGTGTATATATACAATGTTAAATTTAGCATTATGAGTGGTAAAACTGTTGCTGCTATATTTCTATTACACCTATCACCATTACCACTACTACTACTGCTACTATTGAACGTTTAATATATATATATTAAAATATTCCTAATGTGTTACCTCAGAAAATGTCAAAATCTTGCTTGTTAACCCTAACAGTGTACAAGTCTCAGGTCTGCTGTGCTACTGGAGAAAACGATGTGCAAACATGTTAGTAGAGGTGAAACCAATTTATTTTTTCAGGAGTGCTTAATCATATAATTATTTAGTCTATGAAATGTCAAGAATAATGTGCCTCACAAGGTGCCACAGCCCGAAGTAATCGTATAATAGCAATAGCTGATTCTGTCTGGCAAACTCTCATAGAGCCTGAAGGGATTCACTTTATAATGAAATACAAATAAACTATAAAAGAATACTCCACTAAAAGTGAAATAACTGTATTCAGAATATTACTGATCAAAGAACTATGAGTGGCTGTATGTATTCTGTGCCTACATACATTCATTGTTTTTCCCGTATAATCTTCATTTTGTCTTTCACATACATTATTTTCACCTTTAAACACATGTATGTACGATTTCATATATCTATTTTATATGTTTATTTACTGTCTCATTATAGATAGAGTATATAATGTCAGTTAAAGTTAAAGTCAATACTAGAACCCTGAAATAACATAACACTACTTACTACTGCATTTTAATGTTGTAGCTGGTAGAAGTGTAACTGATTTTAACATAACATTTCCATCCATAACACTGTATTAAATTTCATAAAAACGTCATGTTTCATTCAGTATATGATAGGAATGTAAGATATTGTATCAATTATTTTGTGTTTAAACTCCCAACAGATAGATTCGGTCACTTTAGTACAATACTTCAGTAAATGTAAGAAAGCTGCATTTCTTCACACAGCAGAAACTACCAGCTAATAATTTGAATGATAAATCAGTTATAGGTTTATTTTCTGATTATTAATGATTTGAGTCCTTGATAATCAGAAAACGTTTATTTTTCGTTATTTTACGTTCACAGTCCTCAGTTTACAGCACTGCCATACAGCTATCGGGAGTTTAAACAAAAAAATCCAATTATTTATTACTATTACTAAACAATATTGCGATACTCAAGTGTAACAGTATTTTCTTACATTCCTTTTGAATGTGAAACTTCCCTCATAAGCCTGAGAAAAATAACTTAACTTAAGGTCCACTTACAAGCTTCTGGCACTTTCCGATGTGGGGTTGGTGTTGTAGAGTTTTGTAGTAGAAGTGCTCAGAGTGAACTTAAAGGTCATTCTATACATTCTGTAATGGGCACATTTTCTTGTGAAAATCACAGTGGAATTAAAGTGCTCCTCATTTGCTGCCTGACCCTCTAGGTACACTTCTGACACCCCGGGAGTCCCCTCAGGACCCCATTTCCAGCCCAGCTACATGTGTAAAGTACACATTATCAATATAGCCAATGTCACGCAGTTGGAGAAGATTGAGTCGAGGCGCTTATCCACTTTTCTATCCCCCTTCTCCACCCTGCGCCCCCAACTTCACTTCCATCTCTTCGTCACTGCTGTGATGAATTCCTCCTTAGGCCTGCAGTTCACGTTATCACCGTGGTAACAGCTCGCTGATCAGTAATTCATTTTTCAGACCTCTGCATACCAATTACCAAATGAAGGTTATTATCGAGACTTTATGTCTGCCCTGCGCGGGGGCTGTGCAGAATGATAAGATGAGATGAGGCATCAGAAGTAACGAGGGTCAGCGCTCCTCAAGATCGCATTACCCTCCCTTCCCTCTGTCTGCTGCTGGCCCCCCTGCTTGTTTTTGGCTCAGTGCGAGACATGTTGACACAGTTTTTTTTCATCCCGTCGCTGAAGTGGAGGGCAGATACTGTACTCCGCAGCTGGACCGAGAACTCTGTTTGCTCTGAGAAAATTGTTGGAGTACTACGTGACGGAGAGATGAAGGCATTAGTCCACCACCTTTTTTCACATTTTAAGCACGGCTCAGGCTCAGGCTCTGTATGTGTGTGTGTGTGTGTGTGTGTGTGTGTGTGTGTGTGTGTGTGTGTGTGTGTGTGTGTGTGTGGCGAGACTGTCTAATGTGACACGGGAACATCTAATTTTGCCAAAATGTCAAGAAATATCAAGATGTCTTGAGCTGGCTTTGTGGCTGAAATTACTCTCCCTACATCCCTCTGTCTCTCTTCCTGTGTGTGTGTTTGAGTGTGTGTGTGTGTGAGTCTTATCTCCCTGACAGAGCCTAAATGCCATATTTCCCGTTCCCATTTTGAGAATTAACACAGCATCCATTTTGTAATGGAAGCAGAGCTCTGACTGTCCAGGTGCACTGATACAGTACGTCAGCCGTACAGTAAGTTGTTTCTTCCTCTAAGAGGCTGTATTACAACCTAATGTGATGGCGTATTTATGGCATGTTGGTTAATATTTAATAAGAAACCCTCTCGTTAGGAGACCGGGCACTTTTCCAAGCTGTTAGTGACGGCAAGCCAAATTAATCCGCTTTGTAACAAAGCAAATTCCCCCTTTGCTGACCGCTACAGACACACACACACACACACACACACACACACACACACACACACACACACACACACACACACACACCCACTGCTTACTGGGATGGCAGCAGTTTTAGTCTAATCAGTCTGTATTCAGAGGGATTAGCAGCAGATAGCCCTAGCTGGACAGTTCAGATTGTAGCCCCAAACAGCGACTCAGACACACACACACACACACACACACACACACACACACACACACACACACACACACACACACAACCAAGCGGATTTAGGCTTCAAAATACATGCATACACAGGATCTGGGTCCTACTGTGAAAAACATATGGGGCAATGAAAACACAATTTGGCTTAAGGCTTACTCGGCCTAAATAGCCGCACTTGAACGTTCCCGCTAACTCTGTTCCGCGTTGCTCGCTGACAAAAGGTGATTTTCTGGCGAAGGATTGCAGCCATTAAAAAGGCCTCACAATAATTGCTCCACATGAAAGAGAGCATGCTCAAACTGGGTTTCAGTTGTACCTGCAGCCAGCCTTTTATGGAGGACAATGGGTTTCGTAAAGGGGGGTGAGGCTGAGGGCTCGGGACACGGGCAGGCTGGGTAATCCAATACTATTGAGTTTGTGGTTTGGTTAATCTAATTCTAAAGGGACCATGGGCAATGGCTTTGAAGACTGCACCCTATACACACACACACACACACACACACACGTACACATACTCTGGCTGTGATGTATAAATCCCCCCCCCCCTTCCTGGGGAAGTTTTTTTGCATGTTGCTGCATGTAAACGGCCAACAATTCTTGAAGATAAATGCGAGGTGATAGTGTCTAGCACAGGCGATCTGTCTGGTGAGGATTCAGAGCTTTGTTTGGTGTTTGGCACCAGCCACCATTGGGGTCATGTCTTTGGCATTTGTCCTAGGAAATTGTTAATTATTAACAACATTTTACACACGTTAGAACTTTGAAGCAGATAAACCAAATAAAAAACGAGATATTTCTTGCCATAAGTACCAGGGTGAACATGTTAATCCCAGTAAGAAGAGAGAAAACCAGATTTTAGGGGGAATTTTATTAATCGTCTGGAATTATTTCATTAATTTAGAGAGAATTTAGAGAACAAAGACTCAGAGGTCGGATTAACCCACAAAGGGGTTCCAACTGACCCCACGCTTTCTCCCACATTTTGTGCATTATGTTTGCATTATTCAGGAATGAGTCTGTGCTATAATTGACTTTATTTGACCGTGTGGGCATGTCCAAGGTTGAGAATTGTGTTTCTGGTTGTTGGTGTTGAGTTGTTTCAAACTGAATTGCTTCCCCTTCAAAACCCCCCAAAAACATTATTGAAAATGTGTTGATAAATTTCACTATTAAACCATACGAAATGACAAGTTCTTACACTTGTGCCCATTCCTGCAGCAGAGAGATTTCTCGTTAGCCTTGGAATTGTTTGAGGAAAAAGAAAACAAAGAGACCTCAACAGTTTCAAGGCCATAAATCTTCATCTTAACCAGGCATCTATTCAATTATTTAACAACAAAAGTCTGTTTCTTAAAAAAAGTGAAAGAATAATTTTCAGTGCAAGTTAACTTATGTCAGGGATAGTTGTCTTGATTGTAGAGCAGCAATTTGCTTTACTTGCTCAGAAACAAGGGAAACTACAATGAATTAGTTGTTTCAAACTGAATTAATGAATTAGAGTATCTCACCCATTGACGGAAATCATTCTGCTTTGGAGAAAGAGTGCTGAGTGGCTCGCTGTGGCAGTTTATTTCTTTGCAGTGAAATCCTTTACCCTATGATGAATTTACTAAAATGTCATGTAAAATAAATACTGTACTGCTTTGGAAAAACAAAAAATTGCTTGGCTGCAGCTCAGCCTGATGTGAAAGTTCTGATACAACAAGTACCTGAGTTCGAAATCTCATGTACCATCAACAAGATGTGTACATTAAATAGTAACAGTGGATGTAAGTAAGTAAGTAGAAATACTAATAAAATAAAAGTATGTCATATCTGTAAAGCACCTCCTGTGTCTGTCCTGAAATACTCTCTCTCTTACTTGGTTTTCATTTTTACATTTCTTAAATTCTCTGTGCTCATAAGTAAGTAAGTTAAATTCTGCCAAGGTTCAGACTCCGGTAGGGTGGGGCACATTATTGTGGGTCCGGATGGTCACAATATGGCTTTGGCTCTATTTTTATTTTTTTTATTGTCCTAAAATTGCCCCTTTATTGTCATCTTCCACACACTGAAATTGTTTTTTTCTATGAAAAACCTTGTAGTAAAATAGTACTTGGTAACTGTTAGATAAATGTACAAGTATAAAGCAGCATCGAGGGAAAATAGCTTGTACCTGTATGTGTACCCAAAATTATATTCTATACATTATATTATAGTTTTTTATTACTTTACAAAGCAGAACCAGCAGTCCCATGAGTCTTTGTTCCACACTCCTTCTGTGTGTGTGTTCAACATTGTGTGGTTGGCTTTGATCTCAGCGATCAGGGAACAGAAAAGCCCTGACATGAGAAATCAAAGAGCAGGTTGCATAAATACATATTGTGAAAGTCTTGCGGATATGCATCAGATGGTGTGTGTGTGTTCAAGAGACACTAACTTCCTTAACACCTCTCACATTTTATCTCCTCCCTCCCCTTCCTCTCTCCCAGGCACCGATCTGTTCTCTAACTGCACAGAGGAGTGTAAGGCCCTGGGCCACTCCGATCGCTGCTGGATGCCCAGCTTTGTGCCCTCTGAAGGGCGCCAGGGCCCTGACTACCGCAGCAACCTCCACGTGCCCGGCATGGACTCGGTCCCGGACACAGAGGTATTTGAAAGCCCCGAGCAAACGGCCGATAAGTCATTCTCCACCTTTGGCAAAGAGAGTCTCAGTCACCAACACCTCCACCACCACCACCACCTTCTCAAAAACCATCACCTCAGCCATCACCAGGGCTCCCTAGAGAGGAAAGAGTTGGAGGCATTTCTGCCTAGCTCCAGAGCACCTTATAACCTGGCTTATTTAAGTGAGTATTGTGTTTTGCTCTGGCCTAAGTGCCTGCCAAATCAACTCGCAGATCTGGTGATCGAATTAGGTGAAAAAAAGATTCCAAATTAAATTTTCTTCTCGGATTGGCCGGCGGAAGGAAGCGTGAAATTCATTTCAGGTCTGACCCCTGTTCTGTCAGCCTCCCTGTCAGAGTGTTTAACTAACTCTTCCCTCTTTCTCAGGCATCTCTATTATCTCCGACTGCAATGATCTTATCTTCCCTCACCTACCGTTTCGATTCCCCCCACCACACACACACACACACACACACACACACAAAAAGCTCCAGCATTGATTAGCCTGTGGGCCTTTCCAAATTAAATGTGCCAAAAGCAATGTGATCTTTAAGGTTGGTTTGATGTGGGTGCAGATGTTAGCATGAAGGAAGCTCTGTCTTACTATGGAAAAAATGGTTGCTCTCACAGAGCTCGGCAAAAAAAATGGGAAAAGGCGCATTTTTCAAGGAATTACTGTTTCTAAACTCTCATTCACAGGCCACAAAGAGATACATTCTCAATCACTGCAATTTGGTGATAATGCTTAATTATAATTTTGTCAAGCAGTGCCTGAAGAGGCCCCCTCTCTCATCATCCGACACAGCTAGCTGGAATTATCAAACTGTCAGAGCACCGCTGCTTCCCCAGTGCCATCATTTAAAACCACAGCATGCTGTTAGGAGCAGCAGGAAAAACGCTCTTTTTTTCCTTTTAATTAATGTTTTATTCATTTGCTGTGCTCCCCCCCCCTATTTTTATCCTGGATCAAAACGTTATATTGAGCAAGCTCCTAAGTGTCACATTTTTTGCTCTTTATGAAGGCTGTGTTCTAGCACGCTGTGTGCCGGCCTCACAAAGGATGGCCAATTTTACGAGTTGAATGTAGGTTAGGATAAGCTTGTACACATTCCTACAGAAGACGAAGAATCTGACTTTAAACTCAGGATTAAATTGTTCACATGTGGCTCTAAACATCTTCCGTAGTAGCAGCAAAAATAAATACAGCAGTGTAAACCGAATAAAGAACAGTTAAAACAATACAAAATTAAAGCATCAACAGTTGTGGGAATTTAATGGTGCTGCACAACCCCTTAATGTTGACATCTTTCTGAAAAAACAGCCATATTGAGAGGGTTTTATGAGTATAAGACAGGGATGCCCAAAGGTCTGCCATAAGGTTCCAGCAAAAACATTTCTAGCAAAATAAAATCTAATAAAAGGCTAAAAATAAGAATTAAAAGTTAAAGTTTTATGCTGTTTTCTTTTTTTGTGAAGCTTTAAATAAGTAGAATCCCTAATTATTATTAACCAAGTGACACTTTGTGTCTAGTACCATTTTGGTTCTGAACAGTACAATAGGTGTTTGTAATTTGCTCGTGATTCACCATTAAGGCTCAGTTTTGGCCCTCCAGGGGACGAAGGTTGGGCAGTTATAAATTAATTGGATGCAAATTATATGATATTGATTATGTTGAGGAAGGTTATTACAGCAGTATAAGGTAGGGAAGTATGAAATCCTCGCTGTCTGGCAGAAACCTTGTACTGTATGTCCATGTTTTATCCTTTTTATTTATTTTTTCATGAATCAATGCTATTGGTCACCCTTTTGTCTGTCTGGGTTTAAAAAAAAAAATTAACCAATTAAAAACCTTTAAACCAACACTGCTAACTTTTTCGACTCAACATTTCCTGATAAGTAACAAATTTGGACATCCAAGATTTCCGTCCAACAGCAGCAAAATAAAATAAATCATTACTTAATTCAGTTTCAGCTTAATTTAATTTATATAGCTCCAATTCATAACAAAAGTTATCTCAGGAAAATTAGAGCAGGTCTAGACTGCATATAAAATGATTTACGGAGACCCAACTGTTCCCACCATGAGCAAGCACTTGGCGACGGCGGCAAGGAAAAACTTCCTATTATAACAATAACAGAACTTGTGAAATTATACAAAATTGTAGTAGCACTGGTGTCGTGACAAAGAAAAGGTTGTATCGAACAGAATGAGCGCAGTAGCCTCCACGGCAGCTCTGATGCAGCTATTTGTAAAAACCCCTCATGCAGGCAAACATTAAATAAGTTTCAAATTATTATCATTTGTGTGTTTCCCTCTTTACGCCCATCAGCCACACTGTGTTGTGGCTCCAGCAGTTACCATGGATGTGCTTATTATGCGCTCATGATGCAGCACTCCAATTGAAGGGCTTCTGATATTGCCGCGTTTCCCACCAACACCGTCACTCGTTCTCCTCGCAAAGTGGATCACTGTGGCCCTCATGCTAATGAGCGCGGGGGTGGCAGTGTGTGTGTGTGTGTGTGTGTGTGTGTGTGTTTGGTGGGGGGGTTAGAGAGAGGGCTGAGTGGGGAAGAAGAGGGGGAGTGGAGGAAGGGATAGAATGATGATACAGGAGAGGCTGAAGCTCCCTCTAATCTGATCAAGTCAGCCAGTGATACACAGAGACTCTTTTGTCCCGGGGAGTTGCAGGCCTGGGCCTGGGACTGGCCTCGGTCGGGTCAGAGGGGGGTGGGTGTGGGGATGATAGCCAGAGCTCAGTGATTACCGTCATCAAATTCAGACGACACGGAGGCAGGCAAACAAAGACTTGTACTGGCCTGTTAAAGCTCAGCCTTCCTCTTTGTTGCTGCAATGCATTAGTCCCCCCCCCCATGCATTCCCATAACCCCCCCTTAACATATTAACATATTATCCATGAGCCATTATCCATGAGCCATTTCACAAGAGTGAATTAAAGCGGCCAAGCTGAGGGATGTGAGACTTCCTACCCCTTGTTGTGCATATGTGAACCCTCTAATTCCGTGTGAATGAGGCCATTTAAGTGCTGTTTTTGTCTTCCTTCTCAGACTTGACACCCTCCGTCTACACTTACACACAAACACAGCTAACCATGCTTTTTTTTTTTTCTCTCTGCAGCGAGGAAAAGGGTTTGCTAGCTCTTTCCGCGTGGACATACCAGAGACTGCGTGACTTTGCACAATCACTCCTCAACAACCAAGGCTATAAAAACAAAAAAATAAGAAGAAGCATCAAGTTTTTAACCTTTATTGCCCTCCCTGCCCTCTTCCCTCCTCACCCAGCCTGAAATTCAAAATTAAAACACACCCAAACTACACGCAAACTGAGGAATGACACCCTCGAGGAGCTTTCTGGAATTCCTTGGAGCACTGCCGGGCTTTGGAGGCACCCCACTCTTGGGATTAGGAGAGCGTGGGGGGATTGGGAGATGAGTGCAGGCAGGTAGATGGATAGCCTTACCTGAAGGGAGCCCACTGTCTCAGCAGGACTGAGAAACTAACAAGAGGAGGAGGAAGAACACTGGCGACAGAGAGATGAAACTGGACACTGATCTCTCGTCCTTTTTCCAATCTGCGTGTGTCTGTTTACAGCACTGATGTATACATCTCTGAAGAAATTAAACCCGACGCGGACTATGTATGTGTACTGAAAGACAAATCGAGAGCCACCTGGAGGAACCGCCACTGAGCCCTTTAGGCGTTTGTACTCACAGAGAGACGCCAAATTGTACAGGAGAATCTTTGTGCATTTCAAAATGCAATACCACTGTTTTAGATTTTTCTATTCTGTTTGTGTGGTCAGGTGTCTCTATTCCGATCTACTTCAAACTTTGTAAGAAAAGATTGTGGGCAGGATATTTTTTTATTTTTCTGTTTTATTTTGTTTTTTCAGTTTTTGTTCTTTTTGTTCTACTTTGGGTTTGGTGGGTTCACCTTATCGTGGGCTTGGACAGTGTTTTGCCCGCAATTTTCTGATTCTGAGGGATCAAGTAGTTTCTATCATGTGTGAGAAGTGTTTACTGTACTCTTTTAAAAAGTTTCAAGCTGAATATAAAACTCTATATATAAATCTATCTATATCTACTTGTTCTGAAGGCGTGCCATCCGTTTGCTGGGTTCCACATTCTGATTCAGAGGTTCGACTCTTATTTAAGTGCCCCTGAAGAAGGCTTTTTGTTTTTCCCATTGGGGAGACGTAAAGAGAGACAGAACAGCCGTAGCAGATGTAAAACTCAAGTTCTCATTTTTTGACATTATTTCATTTTTTTCTCTCTCCACTTTTGGATAAAGATCATGTCTATAAATAAAAAGGAGGTAATAATTTAGGTTGAAATCCATGGTAATTATGTGTCATTGTAACCAAAACTTTAAGGGTCCATTTATGAAGAACAAAAACATGGCCAAATGCAAAAGGTGTTGTACACAATGCGGTGGCATACAGTATACACACATTACTTTCTCACACGTTACAAACACACCAATATGCCAACAATAAACTGGGAAAAAATGGCGAAAAGGACAGTCTTGCGTGCCTTTATTTTGATGTATTTCCTTGTGGTAAAAGAAAAAGTCCGATTTCAGGTGACCTGACTGAAGGAATTCTGTGTTTTCTTTATGTCCACTGTTTTTTTTTTTTTTTTTTTTTTTTTTTTTTACAGTTTTCAGAAATCTGATTCAGTCCCCAATGCTGTGAGAAGGTAGTTTTTATAAAGTGGAGGAAAGTCAGTAAATTTATTTATTTCTGTACAATTATGAGGTTCTTGGTGTGTATATATATATATATATATATATACACATATATTGGGGATGAGCAAGTACCCCATCATCTGTATCTATGTAAGTGGGCGGTAGTAACCAGAAGTTGTTAAGCCGGAGTACGGATTTTGACCCATTTTACTCAGTATGAGTGCTTTGTGTATGAGAATCATCAGTGAGCTCATACAATATAATGCACTGTTATAGATAAAAACAATAATATGATATAAAGATATATGCAGACATATTCATGTAAAAAAGTTCTGCATTCAATGTTTTACATAAGTAAAAGTACAAAAGGTATGACAGAGACTAGCTGTCACATTAATGTGGTCAAGATGGAGCTAATTTATATTTCATATAATTTTTCCAGCAATGTGAAGAAGTGTCTTGATTTGATCTGCAAAGCATATCAAGCATATTATCATCATTGATACAAAAAAAAAATAATAATCTGGATCCAGGATCTCCAGCCTGCCCAACTCGTGAAACACTGCAGCTTGGTCAGTGGCCCTTCAAAATGTGACGCTGCAGGTGCCCCTTAGTGTCATCTGTGGACCTGCAGGGCTCCATACTTAAGCGGTATTTAATATAGATGTAGTATAAAGAGCCAGAAAGTCTGCATATGGAGGTGGTGGGGTGGATGGATGGCTCAAACAAACACAGGACTTTAACCCAGGAGGTCGCTCTTTCCTGTTTGAAACCAATGGTCAAAGTTGATATCTTTTAAGTTATTTGTGTTAGTTACATAAGGAATGTAACTTACAGTCTAAAACATAACCAAGTAGTTTTTGTGCTTAAACTTAACTCAACAGCAACTGTTTCACAATATTAAGCTGCTTCATTTTGAAATTCTAACCGGCTGTTGCCTAGTCATTATTGCTAATTTGATTGCGGACCCCTTCTTGTCCAGAAATGACACTAAAGAATACCTACAGCTTCATATTTTGAAACGCAGTGCCACTGACCAAGCGGCAGTATTTAATAAGTTGGGAGAAAGAACTTGCTGGCCTCTCTGTTTAATGACAAACTTCT